GGTACAGCATCCGCGATGCAGTCGGCCACGGCGGCTGTGCAGGACAGCTTGATCTCACTGGGAGCAGAGAGGGGGGGTCAGGGCAGCACCCACCAGCCCTGGCCAGCCGTGGGGACAGCCCCGTGGGGACAGTCTTGCCAGGGCACCCAGAGGGGCACCCAGGGCATCCCTGGGGACCAGCTGCTGGGATGGAGGAAGCCCCTCGTGGATGCTCAGGGCTTCCCTGTGCCAGTTCATGGAACTGTCCCTGCAGGAACATCACCCGTGGGGCTTCCCAGCTGGCTGGGGACACATCTGAACTGGATCCAAGTGGGAAGCCAAGCTCCAACTGGGAGAACACTGCAGGACCCAGCACACCCCCCCCCACCCACCCTGTGTCACCCTGCAGCAGTTGGTTGGGACTCCCCCCAGCATCCCCATCTGGCCTTGGGAGTGAAGCACAAAGGGCCTGACACCTACTTGAGCTTGCTGAAGACATCAGCGACCATCTGGTCCAGCAGGGTGCTGAGGTTGAGGTGGTCCTGGAGGCAGATCCTCTCTGCCATGGCACTGAGCAGCTGGTCCCTCACCCTGCCCTTCTGCACCACGGCCGGGCACAGGTCCTGCACCGTGTCCAGCACTGCCTGCCTGATCGCCTGAGGTTTGGGGAGGAAAGGGGAGGTTTTGGGCATCTTCCTGGGCTTTCCAGGAGTCACCGTGTCCCTCGTCCTGGGGCCGAGGCTGAGGAGCATCCTGGGGGTGCCCACCTGGATCTCCTGGCTGCAGATCCGCGAGGCTTCCTCGGTGAGTCTCTCCAGCTTGTGCTGCAGTTTGGTGCTCTGGTGCGGGGAGTTCCCGGCCTCGTGCAGCAGGGGCAGGATCTGCCGCGGGAAGGGAGGGTCTCGGAATCATGGAGTGGTGAAGGTGGGAAGGGACCTTTAAGATCAGCAGGTTCCAACCCCCCCCTGCATGGGCAGGGACACCTCCCACCAGCCCAGGTTGCTCCAAGCCCCATCCAACCTGCCCTTCAACACTGCCAGGGATGGGGCAGCCACAGCTTCCCTGGGCAACCTGGGCCAGGCTCTCACCACCCTCACACCAAACAATTTCCTCCTCATGTCTCACCTCAATCTCCCTCTTCCAGTTTTCATCCCTTCCCCCTTGTCCTCTCCCTCCCTGCCCTTGTCCCAAGTCCCTCCCCAGCTTTCCTGGAGCCCCTTCAGGCACTGGAAGCTGCTCTCAGGTCTCCCTGGAGCCTTCTCTTCTCCAGGCTGAACACCCCAACTCTCCCAGCCTGGCTCCAGAGCTGCTCCAGCCCTCCCATCATCTCCGTGGCCTCCTCATCCTTGCTTTCCACCCTTCCATACCCAGCCATAGAAGCATCAGCTCCATCAGCTGAGGAGACCAAGTAACCTTCTGGCTTTGCAGGGCCACAGTTGAACATCTTGGTCCCTCATGGTCCCTGTGTCCCCTCAGACCCTCAACTGATCCCCCACCCCCATCCACTGACCCAACCACGCTGCTGCCCTCATCAGGGGAGATGCTTTCCCACCCCCTTCACCACCTCTCCACTACCAGCACTGTCCTCTGAAATCCTATCTCCACCAGACTGACTTCCCAGGAGGACCAAGAGAGCTGGGAAGGAGGCAAAGGAGGTGGTTGGAAGAGAAGCAGGGGGAGGAAAAGTCACGATGGGGAGAAGGAAACAGACCCAGGAGGATCAAACCAAGGCTGAGGGTGCCAGGAGCTGCCCAGCCACCGTGGTGGCCTTGGTCAGGAGCATCCCCATGGCTGGGCTGCCTGCAGCTGGGGGGGTGAGGGTGCCCCGAGGAGGGACCCCCGGGGGACTTGGGGTCTCAGGGTGGGCACCCAGGGGTTGCTGAGTGGGGCCAAAGCTGGAGCACCCACCCCCCAGGGGGTGCCCCGGTAGCCCCCAGGTCCTGGGGGGTCTGCACAGACACCTGTACATGTTGGGGGGGAGGATTAAGAACGTTTAGGGACTTGTTCTAGAAGAGGATCCAGAAACCCATCCTGGGCTCCCCAGGAGCTCAGCCACCTCCATCTGACCATCCCGGCGGCCCCGGCGGCCGCTTCATTATCTCATTAACTGATCAATAAGCCACTTCGATCCCCAGTCAGAGCCAGGCGAGCTGCCGGGTGTCCCCAGGTGTCCCCAGGTGTCCCCAGGGCTGGACTCACGCTGACAGAGAGGTTAGCATTCCTGATGGCCTCCTCAGCACCCAGGACATCCACCTCCCCGCCCGGGCAGGCGCCGAGGATGTCCAGGTTCTTCTGCAGGCTCAGGCAGATCTCGTTCACCATCTGGGGAGCAGAGAGGCCCTGTCACCCTCCCAGCCATGACCTTCCCACAGGAGGACATCCCAGCACTGCCCTGTGGGGCAGGGGGACAGTCCCTGGAGCATCCCTGAAATGCATGGATGCAAACAGGAGGGTTAGAGTCATGGAATGGGTTGGATTGGAAGGGACCTTAATGACCATCCAGTCCCACCCCCCTGCATGGGCAGGGACACCTCCCACCAGCCCAGGCTGCTCCAAGCCCCATCCAACCTGCCCTTCAACACTGCCAGGGATGGGGCAGCCACAGCTTCCCTGGGCAACCTGGGCCAGGCTCTCACCACCCTCACACCAAACAATTCCCTCCTCATGTCTCACCTCAATCTCCCTCTTCCAGTTTTCATCCCTTCTCCCTTGTCCTCTCCCTCCCTGCCCTTGTCCCAAGTCCCTCCCCAGCTTTCCTGGAGCCCCTTCAGGCACTGGAAGCTGCTCTCAGGTCTCCCTGGAGCCTTCTCTTCTCCAGGCTGAACACCCCAACTCTCCCAGCCTGGCTCCATAGATGTCCCACAGCTTCCCTTTCCACCCAGCTCCTCTCATCCCTCAGGAAGGGCACGAAGGAGGTCTGTGCTTCCTGCAGGAACTCCCCTGAGGTCTCTGGGTCAGGGGGGTGCAGCTGCAGGGGGGAAATGCCCAGCAAACCTGCTCCGAGGAGGTGGTGAGGAAGCCCTGCTGCAGGCGGAAGGTCTGGGCAGGCAGCGGGCGCCGCAGCTGGTTCCTGGCCAGGCAGGCCTGGAGCTGCAGGGGACAGGAGCCCATCAGCAGCCACCAGGGCTGGCACCTGTCCCCCCAGTGTCCCCCTCCCCACCTCAGCAACGTCCCCCCAACCTTGTGCACAGCC